TGATGCATCATCATGCTGATTAGGATGGAGGAGTGGATGAGACAGCTGAATTTGTGATTATAGCTTGTTTATTATTGAACTTTGCTTAGAAACATGTATTCTGATTTTAGATGGTATTATCACTTGTTTTATTTGGTTTTAATAGTGTGATTGGCCAAATAAAGTTTACTCTGTACACATTCCCCGGATAGGCCCTCTCATTTGGAGTGGATCAAAGGGATAAGATTGGGGATCCAACACTCCCTACGAGTCTGATCCTTCCTGGGCGCAATAGCGTAACGTGGCACTACAAACCACTCTCTGTTTGTGAGTAACATTCCTTTGGAATTGTGTTTTTTATGATATTTTAAGTGATTTCAATTTTGTTTATCTTTTTGCTTTGTTTATCGTTTCTATGACAGTTTTTCGATACTTTTGGTTTCTCCGTGGAGTGTTCCACTACATAGTGACATCATACCTGTGATTGAGGCAACTGTTTGACAATTTTCTTTAGTATCAAATGTATTTTTATGCTATATTTGCTTTTTTCTGTATACATAAATAAGGCATCGTTGCTGAAACATTGTTTCTTTTTTCTTTGTCCTTATAGTTAAACAGTTTTCTTTTTTTACCACAATGAACTTCTGTCTATAACCTTTCTCGTGAGTTGCTCTGTTTTCTTTCAAATTCCTAATAAAGCTTTGGTAAATAAATGATAATCCAGTTCAAGCAAGGTTAAACCAAAGCAAATATTACAATGAAGAAACAGAGTTCAAAGAGACACGATAGGCACCAAAACAACTTTGGCTTAATGCAGCAATTTTGGTGTAAAGATCATGCCCCTGCAGTCTCACTGCTCAATTATTGGCCATGTAGGAGTTAGATATACTTTGTTTATACAGCTCTAGTCCCACCTTCCTGCATGTTTCCTAAACACTTCCCAAAAAGGAACATAGATATTTTAGGTGCCTTTATTGTCTATTAAATCTACAATGTCTCATCACCTGCTCTGTCAATAGCCTTCTGGAGCCTGTTGGAGCCTACTGTGTGTGATTAAAGTTCAATTTAACCCCTTAAGGGCCGAGGACGGTTCAGGACCGTCATCGGCATTTTTGCATTGCCGACCGCTGACGACCCTGACCCGTCCTAACGGTAAGATGTATTTACCCGATCGCCGTCATTCCCCCGGTGGCGATCGGCAGTGCTCCCGGTGTGGGGAGACTGCCTGCAGCCCAGACAGTCTCCCCATGGTGGATTAGGACCCCTGTGGCCATGTGATCGCTCAACAGAGCGATCACATGGTCACAATAGGTGTCCATGTGTCTGCCTGCAGGGGGACTGTCTGTGCTAACAGGCAGTCTCCCTGCTAGTGTAAAATAAAAAAATGAAAAATAAAGGTTAATGTTAATAAAAAAAAGAATAATTATATATGTGTATATGTCTATATATCATATATATAATGTCATACTAAGTGTATTTTTATATTAATATGTACATATATTAATAAAAAAATACACTTATAATTAAATTACACACGTATATATATATAATATATATAATAACTATATATTGTGTATATATATATATATTATTATAAAATACAAATAGTAAGTAATTTAAATTAAATTAAAAAATTTAAAAATAATATTTAAAAAAAAATGATATATCTATATGAAATTTTATACTAACTGTATTTTGATATTAATACATATATATGTATATCAAAATACACTTAGAATGAAATTGGATATATATCTATGTATATATAAATAAATAAAAATAATACGAAATATACATATGTCCATATACAAAGTTACATATATAATTATATAAATATACACGTAGACTTCAAATATATAAATATGCACATAAATTTAAATTCTATGCGCATATTTCTGTAATATTTTTACATAATTAAGTAATTTTATTGATTGCAATTTGAGGGACTTGCCTGCCAACTCAGGGACTGTATTTTACTCTGTAATGTTCTATGACACCCTAAAACCTGTACATGGGGGGTACTGTTTTACTCGGGAGACTTCGCTGAACACAAATATTAGTGATTCAAAACAGTAAAACATATCACAGCGATGAAATTGTCAGTGAAAGTGACTTTTTTTGCATTTTTCACACACAAACAACACTTTTGCTGATGATATAATTGTTGTGATATGTTTTCCTTTTTTCAAAGGAAACACTAATATATGGGTCAAATATTTTTACATTGAAAATCGCCAGGTTGGTTACGTTGCCTTTGAGAGCGTATGGTAGCCCAGGAATGAGAATTACCCCCATGATGGCATCCCATTTGCAAAAGAAGACAACCCAAGGTATTGCAAATGGGTTATGTCCAGTCTTTTTAGTAACCACTTAGTCACAAACAGTAGGCAAATTTTTAAAATGTATGTTTTGAAACCGCAATATCCTACTTGTACTTATAGCCCTATAACATGCAAAAAAGATGGCAAAAAAGTAAACACTGGGTATTTTTAAACTCAGGACAACATTTTGAATCTATTTAGCAGTTTTTTTCATTCGCTTTTGTAGATGAATAAAAGATTTTTCAAGTAAAAGTAAAAAAAATGTATTTTTTTCAATTTTTCATCATATTTTTTAATTTTTTAAAAATTTAATTACATGAGATTATATAAATAATAGTATGTAAAGAAAGCCCTTTTTGTCTTGAAAAAAAAATATAATTTGAATGGGAACAGTAAATGAGAGAGCGGAAAATTACAGCTAAACACAAACACCACAAAAGTGTAAAAAGATGCCTGGTCGCAAATGTACAAGATCGCAAAATCAGTCCGGTCCTTAAGGGGTTAAAGAGCAGGAGATAAAAACTTCTAAAGCAAGTTAACATATGATTGAAAAAGAAACCATGTTTTCATGCAGCCTGAGTGAGTCACAGCTAGGGAGGAGTGGCTAGGGTTGCATAAACAGAAATTATATTGATTTAACTCCTAAATGGCAGACAATTAAACAGTGAAGGGCTTGATCTATACATAGAGCCGGACTTGCTCAACTGAGATCTCATGAAATATCTCGGTGGGCCACAGCATCTGGGGCTGGGCAGGCAAACCTAATGCCATTGAAAAAAGTTTTCCCGGCCTGTGAAAGTAAAGAGGGAATTAAGGAGGAGGTAGCTGCTGCATTGAGGTTAGCAGCCGGCTTGAGAAGTGAGGAGTAATTTTATAATTTACAGAAGCTTTTCTGTGCCTCTTCTATTCCACCCACGCACTCCAGCCCCATCCCCAAACTCAACCAGCTGGCCTCGCTAGCAGCAACAGGCCAAAAAATTGCAAAGTCATCTCCCAGTCCTCTCACTGCCTTCAAATACCCACATGCCTGTAGGTTTAACTTTTCTGCACTGCAAAAAAATAAATTTAAAAAAATATTTCAATTTTTCATCATATTTTTTAATTTTTTAAAAATTTAATTACATGAGATTATATAAATAATAGTATGTAAAGAAAGCCCTTTTTGTCTTGAAAAAAAAATATAATTTGAATGGGAACAGTAAATGAGAGAGCGGAAAATTACAGCTAAACACAAACACCACAAAAGTGTAAAAAGATGCCTGGTCGCAAATGTACAAGATCGCAAAATCAGTCCGGTCCTTAAGGGGTTAAAGAGCAGGAGATAAAAACTTCTAAAGCAAGTTAACATATGATTGAAAAAGAAACCATGTTTTCATGCAGCCTGAGTGAGTCACAACTAGGGAGGAGTGGCTAGGGTTGCATAAACAGAAATTATATTGATTTAACTCCTAAATGGCAGACAATTAAACAGTGAAGGGCTTGATCTATACATAGAGCCGGACTTGCTCAACTGGGATCTCATGAAATATCTCGGTGGGCCACAGCATCTGGGGCTGGGCAGGCAAACCTAATGCCATTGAAAAAAGTTTTCCCGGCCTGTGAAAGTAAAGAGGGAATTAAGGAGGAGGTAGCTGCTGCATTGAGGTTAGCAGCCGGCTTGAGAAGTGAGGAGTAATTTTATAATTTACAGAAGCTTTTCTGTGCCTCTTCTATTCCACCCACGCACTCCAGCCCCATCCCCAAACTCAACCAGCTGGCCTCGCTAGCAGCAACAGGCCAAAAAATTGCAAAGTCATCTCCCAGTCCTCTCACTGCCTTCAAATACCCACATGCCTGTAGGTTTAACTTTTCTGCACTGCAAAAAAATAAATTAAAAAAAATAAAAATAAAAACATGTGACAGTTCCTTTTTAAGTTTGCAAGCTGGTTTTAAGCTCACCACTGCTGATTGTTCAGTGAATAATCCCCAATATGTGAGAAGAGATATTCCAGCAATCGGATTTTAGGGCCAGTATCAACGTGACAGGCTCCTGATGTATGTAAGTTCTCATTATAACCCTTGGACTAGGATTGGTAGTCAAGACATGACATCAGTAGCAAACAATATTTCATAAAAACAAATGAACGATGCAGAAAATATAAACTTTATTTTTTTTTAAATACATAAAAAAAATCTTTTGATGACATCAATAATCAGTGCATGAAAATAAATAATTATATCTTGTTTGTATTAATAAATAAGACCAGTGTTTGTAAGTGTTCAGATAATTAAAATCCACAATAAATATCAAACATAGTTTGAAATTAATACAGAACTTTTTTAAAAAAGTAGTTTAGATTCAAACCCACAATTACAAAATGTAATCAAAATAATAATGAAAATAAATATTATAATAAATATATAAATATCAATTTGTACAAGACTACGGATGGTAAAAATATGCAGTATTTATGTCCTCTGGAAAATGTCACAATAATAAATAATAAAATAATAATAATAATAATAATAAATAATAATAACAACAACAACAATAAAAACAGTGAGTAAATGCAGCCAAAATGAAAATAGAATGCAAAATAATACAAATTTGTTTTTTAAAAAAGTACAATAAATTAAAAAAACATAATTTTAAAGTGGTTTCTTCAACATAGCACGAGAGATTTTATAGATACAACCACAGTAACAGGAAGCATTTGTACTCTAGCTTTTTATGAGTTTTGACTTATCGGGGTTATTTGTTGAAGTGAAAATTCATAGTAAATTTCAAATTTAAGGCTGAAATAGTCTTACCAAAAAAATTCCCTGAGTCAGCTTTGCTCGTGCTTCTTTGCCTAAAATTTAAAATTCACTTTGATTTCTCACTATAGGTAATAACCCTGTTTGTGCGCAACTAATATGCTTTGCATCCAAATAAACTCTGTCTACCTTTTATCACTATTTCTTAAAGGTTTTCCAAGTAATTGTATTGTATTGGACAGAGGATGAATTTTAGAATAATGAATTGGGAGATAATTATTATAACGATCATTGTTTCAGATCATGACTATGTGCAATACCAAAAGAAGGAAATCCTTGCATGGAAATATTCCATATTTAAAAGAACCGTACACAGACTCTAAAGGTAATTATTACCTACTAGAATCCATGATAAAATTCACATTGGTGAAATACACAGTTTGGTACCAACAGGAAGTATTTAATATTGGCCTCGATTTAAGCTTTTCAAATAATTTTATGTTTTTATATAAACTTTTAAAATGATTTAATATTTTGAAAATTAAATATGTGATATATCTTTGATAATTTAATATCGTTTATCCATAAATCTTAAATCATTTGAAAAGCTTGTTCATAAATATTAAATCCTATGTGAGCTAAAAGAACCACTAAAGACAGAGCACTTCCTCTCAGTGAAGTGTCCTGGGTGCAGTAATCCTTTAGATTTAACCCTGCAATACAAGGGCTTGCCGATTAGTACCCAAGGTAATGCTTAAATTGCAGGTATAAATAAGCATCTAGTACATGGATGCCAATAGGCAAATCCCCAGATGTTTTAAAACTACAGCTTCTGTGATGAGTTGTCATTTTAAAGACAAGCAAAGCATCATGGGAGTTGTAGCTATACAACATCTGGGGAGCTACTTTTTGGGAACCATTGATCTATATATTTATAGTTTTTATATAGATTTAAAGGGGGCTTGAATCTAAATAATAATAAGAACACTATACCATTAGTATTTTAATATACAAATTACTCATACGCAGTCACTCCTTCCTTTGATACTTTGTACAAAGAATTAATTGACAAGTAAATTTAAGTGCTAAAATGGAAGACTAAAAAAGTCCAATATCTCCATTTCAGTATCCTGCTTCCATCATATAATAATTACTAACACTAGATTAAGTAACTTGTGATCACACAGCCACCTGCCACAGGATTGTATCTATTATTTCAATGCCACATTCACGACTCTTTAAAATATTCATATTTTCACCTGAGTTTCAATATAATAAATACATGTTTGCTTTACGTTACTAGAGGACATATATACATTTTTACAGAGGAATATAAATGTTATATTCCGTCTGTAGCATTAATATTTTATCATCACCCATGTAGGTGTATTATGTCTTGTCATCTCCAAAGATTGCCAAAACATTTTCAGCCACGTTTGGCACAATTTTTACTGATAAACACTTCAAAGAAATTGTTAAAATAGGCTGAAACATCTTGTGCTCCCAAGCGTTTAAATTTGCAGCCATTCCGCGTTACCTAGGACAGAAGAACAAAAGATATTATGGCCTATGATTCGAGGAGGAAGAGGGATTAATAGCTTACATGCTCATCATTTCATAGTTTTCTGTTTTTGTTTTTTTCATTTTCATTTTCATTCAGCATTTTTTTTATACAAATGTGTGTAAATTAAAAGTACTACACCTGTATTTTTTTTAACCTAAAGTTGGATCAAGGGCAAAACGTATATCATTTCGTCAATAACATATAGGATAGATCCGAGAGATAGATAGATAGATAGATAGGTAGATAGATAGATAGATGACTGTTTCTAAGTTTGTTTGTAAACTATTTGTAGTTAGTTATCAAAAAATGTAACAGGGCAAACAAAAATGACTCTTTCTTACAAAGAATGTTAAAGCTTAGTCATCAGATTTAGACAGCAATTTCTGATTCATTGATGAATATGTTATCTCTCTTCCATCAGATGTGCTGTGTCACATCATACACCATCGTGGTAGAAGAGGTAATGTATCCATAAAAGGTAATAGAATGAGCAGCACCTTTATTAGAGCATAATGGTTCATAGTTACTTCTATCTAAAAACACTGTGAATTAGTTCACATTACTTTAATGGCCCTTCAAAAAGCTTACACATATTCCTGCCTGGAAAATAGACAGGCGCTTGACACAATTAATTGGGCTCAACAGTTACGTAGTAGCAAGGATAATAACATAGCAATTGAAAATTGCATGATTTGAGTGACCTAGAACTTTAATAGCATGGAGAAAATGAACATTAGAGAAAAGAGGAATATGTGGCTTAGACTGGACTTCAAAAGTATTAGCAAGCTAATCAACATTTGATGGAGTGCAAACATTAAAAAGACACTACAGTGCCCATTTTTTTCAAATCACTGCTTAGTAGATATACCCCAAATGAAAACATGCTTGTATTTAATTATGCTTTATTTTTCATTTTGGTTATATCTAACAAAAACTTGCAAAAGCTCTTTTCTGCAACATTTGTTAGACCTCCCCTTCCAGCCTTGCCCAGACTTTCTGTGGCTGTCCCATTAACAGACTTCCCAATGCAGCTTTGCATGGCAGGTGATGAGAACAATTGCATGCCTCTTGAGCTTAGCTCCACTGAGCTAAGCAACCAGGAAGTAACAGGGCCAGTTGTCTGACTGATAGCCAGGGGTTGTAACAAGGCTATTTAAAAAAAAATAATAATTCCACTTTCTATTACGATTTGCACTTTTTGAAAAATGAAAAACGCACACAATCTTTACACATAAAGCACTTCAGCAAGCTAAAGTGCTTTAGGGGTCTGATGTGTTTAATTTTATAGAAGACTTATTGAAAGGATATTGAAAGACAGGATAAGATGCAGCAAGGAATGTCTGGGCTTGAAATGATTATGACATTTAGAAATGGAAAAGTTTGTGACATTAAAAAGAATGTACTTAGAATCATAGATTACATAATAATTAAGATATGTTTCATAAAATATCTGTTTTGGAAAAGTAAAAATCTCACATCCATGTCTAGTAAAACATACTGCTTACACATCATATCAAATATACTATATATAATATAATAGCATGACTTCTGTTTATTGACATTGTGACTGTATACATAACTCATAGTAACTATTCAAAGCTTCTAAATCAAAAAATGAATTGAAATATATATTGTGCTGTCAAATAATTTTGGAAACAAATGTCCCATTTGTGATTGATGGCAGGATGCCCAGATTGTCATTAGATGCTGACTCACTGACTCACAATTCCCCAAACAGTTCTAAACGATATGTAAACAAACGCACACGTCTATAAATGTAATAATATAAGGCTCTGCCTGGAGTGAGATATTTTGATATTATTGGCAAACTAAAAAAATGTAACACCATCCCCCTGTACAAAGCATATTTTTTTTATCTGACGTAAGAGTTATGTAATTCTTAATGAGAGGGTATATAACAGTAAATTGGATATTGTGGATCAATAAGAAAATATTGCCATCAAAGTGACTAGAGACATCGTAGACCACAATAGCAAGAGAACTGGGATTTAAGGATGTCTCTGGTTGCTTGATATTGGTGGAATGTCAGAGGTTGTTCCTGTGTCTCTCAGCTTGCTCTCTCACAGCTCCTCAACTAGCATATGAGTAATGTGAAGGGGACAGAGTTAATGATGGTAATAAAAATAGTTGCTACTGCCCAGATGTGTCTCGCAATCTCAACTGCAGGCATATCTGCATATCAATATAAACAAACTGTTTCATTATATACTACTTAATTTCTTAATATTATATTAAATGTTTTATGCTAATTTGTGAAAAAATAAAAATCAATGCTGATAAAATAATACTGTTACATAATATAACTTTATATTGCAACGTAAAGCAGCCATAAGCATTCCTTTCTATTCTAGGTCCAATGGGGGCAATTGACCCGCTGCCCCCTTTGCCAGCCCTCCCCTGAATATATATATTATAAATATTAATAAACATTATTAAGACGTGTTTGTCGAGCACTGCACAAGCTGATCGATTTGTAGATAAAGATAATTTATTGACTCTAGTAATAAAGGTGTATATAATTAAATTAAGTGAGACTAATTCATTATGATAAAATATATAATAAAATTCTCTCAAACGTGTCCAGTGATTTTGAAAATACATATATAAAATTAAGATATGCTAGTTCTACTATGATAATGTGTGACATTAAATCAGCATTATTTCTCATTTAACAATTTAATTTCTTTAAACTATTTTGTTGAATTGTTGCTTACAACCTAGCTATTACTCAAGTGTCAGATACTTTTGGTTGATAATAAATATAGTTATTATAAAATTGTTTATGGTGTATTTTATAGGTTTATATTTTTTAAATTATTCTCTTGTAAAAAGTCCATTTAAAAACTGAGCTGAGATCATTTTTAAACACACCCAAAAATCTGATAAATCAAAAATATTAAAACATACCTTTGTTGGTTGTACTTTTTCCATGAGTGATGCTAGAATAGTCCTCATCATTACAGCTTCGGTGGCATTGTATTTGTGGAGTTCTGTGTGGGTCTTTTGCAGTTGTTCATATGCACATTGACACTGTCCACAAAAATAAGAAAAATAAAACTTAAAATAGTCTCTTTTTTTTTTCTTTACCTTCTTTTTTTCTGAGTACTATATCCCATATTCCACATCAGGAGTCAACATTTCCAGTGTGCTAAGACTCTGTAGTCATATGCACACTGCCAGCTGAATGAAGGGAGGCTGCTTTTGATTCACTTCAAACTTGCCTTATTCCTGACCATCTCAGCAATTCCTCTTTTAACATTTGACAAAAGCTTTGATTTCGCAATCTGCAAACAGCTTTTATATCAACTGATAGAGAATATGTCAGGCAACATGCTGAACTACAAACAAAAGTCAGTGTTCCATGTAGATATTATTTTGAAATAAAACACTAAATATATCTTACCGTATTGCTCAATGGTTTCAGCTGACTGAAAATCTTAAAGCCCGTCTACAAAAAAGAACAGTAAAATTAAAATGAATACATTTTCACAATATTTTTTGCGAAAAAAATACATCTATATATTTTTTATTCAAGCATGTCATTTTAAATCCTCCTTTCATAACCCTAGCTTATTAAAAGCCTTTTGAATATACGATAATTTGTTCATAATTTTTCTTTTAGGATAAGACCATCCAAAAGACTATATTAGTATGTTTAATTTGTTTTCTGTACTATGAAAAAAAATAGTCTTCACTTTTAAATACCCTTGTAATTTGTTTTGTTTTTTAAGGCTAATCACAACACATATATGTATAAAAAAAAATTGCTTTGCTTACCTCATTTGACGATTTCACAAAAGTCAGATGGAAAAGCTGTTTAAATTCTTCAGTTTCAGTAATGGTCTCTTTTATACAAAACACAGAAGATAACAGTAAAAAGACAAACGTAAATGAATG